CTATAGAGGTTTTGCACAGCAGCCATGTTGGATGGCAGGAACAATGAAAATATTTTGCATAACAAAGAATTTTTTTCCCATGGGTAAAATAATCTATTGTTCCTGCCATCCAACATGGCTGCTGTGCAAAACCTCTATAGGCAGCCAAATCGGTTGACCACCACTTTTGGCTCCTTGAACACTTTCTCGGACAGGGACACTTAAGCAAATTGTTTTTGTAACCAACGGCATATTCTAAAGAACATGCTTTAAAACAGACTAAATTGTTCTAGAATCCAACAGCATTTGAAAAAAGGTCACTCTTGCCAATTGTAACTTTATTAAAGTACTACATTCCTTTGTCGACAGACTATGGGCAACTCGCTCAGCCAACAAGACAACAACGCGGCAGTTGATCTCACCGCAGAGTTCCAAGACTACGCGAAAAGTCTCGGAAAGGTGGACCTTTACGACTCGAACTTTACCTTTCGGAGAAATGAGGCGAAACGTCTGACGAAAGATGAATTTGAAGAAATGATGGACCAGTACCAAATACCAGAAACGCACCGTTATGGATCGAAGGCCAGCTCTGTTCTCACTGAACGCAAAGAATCAGGTTCCTTTGAAAAAACCATTCTAATATTTGCCCGATCAAAAAAAAAACGATATGATGTTGTTGTGGCTGAAGGGAAGCTGTCGACTAGTTTTGACTGGGAAAGGTATTGCACTTTGTTTTAACTTATGCATGTTCATTTTCCAGTGTTTATCGCTATCGTAGGTTATAGAAAAATGCAGAATAGACTTACCTTTACAAGGACGCTCTCATTCCGTTATATTCTTAAAATTCTTTATCTGGTCTTTTCTTCTTAGGACTGGAATTGCCGCATGTTTGTTAGCTACTATAAGTGGTGCAGCTTGCTATATGATTGATCCTTATCTGGGGATCACGGTTGGATTTATTGGTTTACTTAAAATGGCTGGTAAGATGATCAGTGGCCCAGGCAATCAAGAATTCCAAGATGTCGTCACTAATTTCATGATTAAGCAGCTGATGGCAGCTCAAGATTTGGCTGTGAATAAACAGGGCAAGTTTGCATTTGTGCACGGTAGGCGCCATACTCTTCTGGATGATACGAGCGACATAATTCCGGAGTCTAATCAAGTACCTGATCCTATTAATCTGAAGGCTGACCGCGGTACACATCATTCATCATGTTGCATTGGTTGCTTCTCCTTCAAAAGACAAAAAACGAACAGTAATCATTAGCTTTGAATGAGTAGACGCGTGTAAGTTGATTTGATTTTTTCTTATTCGCTTAAAGTGTCATTTGTTGTTATTGTTCCGTCGGTTGTTGTTTTTTATTGTTGTAATGAAGGAATTGACCTGAGAGCCGAAGGATCTGTACACTGTTACCCAAATATCTGACGCAACATACTGCATACGAAACGAGTAAGGTTCATATCTATTGTGGCTGGAACCTGTTTTCAAAGGAATACCCGAGGATCTCTACTTCAGCAAAGAAAACGAAGAAAATATGGCAGTAATTGTTATTTTGATCTAACACCAAACTCTCATAACTTTTTACAAGGAAATATGTAGAAGCTAAAATTACAATCAGACCTTAGGAGTTAAAGGATTCAAAGAAAACGGTTACAAATACATGTCCTACTTTCCTTATATTTCAAAATAAAAGAGAGACCGCCAATTATATGACAAAATGCTAATTCGAGGGGAAAACACAAATGACGAAAATCCTCTAGACCAACGGTAGTGATTTGCAGTCCAAATTTGATAGAGGGTGTATTTTTTTACATCCAGTTTGTTGTTTAAACCTGGTCCGTCTCTTGTCGTCTGCGTTTTCTACGAACTTAAAAAAAACGGCGTTATTCTGACCTTACAAGGTTTATAAAAAGTAAATATTGTTGCAGGGACCTTGTTTCTCTCAGAACAAAACCAATAGATTCTACAAACTATGTACTCGTGTTAGATTACATGACAAACTTTCTTCACAACAAAAAAAGCTGTAAAAGCAACACTTATTTATCAACCAACCATTCTGTTTCTGGGTCTCAAAAATTTACACAGTCACTTATCAGTTTATCACGATAACTTCTTTAATGGCTCTCTAATATTTGTTTCGGCAGTGTAGAGGTTGTAAACCTTAACCCAGGGACTATTGTTGGTGTTTGGGGGGGCTAATTTAGTTCTTTCCTAA